TGGCTTAAACTCTAGACATTGTCTAACCATTTTTTCTAACTACATCTGAATTTGTATCCAAAATTTCCTTGCCTTTATATAGGTCCACCACATGTGGTAGTATGTGCCAGGTATTTGCTTACATTTCCAACAGTTTGGGGGCATATTGCTAAACATTTTAGCCAATCTTGGCCGGGGGGCAGATGCCACTTCTAAAGATGCTCATGTGTGTTTAAGTTACAAAACTTCTAGTAGGAGTTAAGCAGTTGTAAAAAGCGATATAATTACATTCAAAGCCATTATACTGTTGCCTTCAGTACGTTGGTTAAAGTAGCTCCAGTAGGAGAGGCTAATGCAAAGGTTTTCAGAAGCAAAGTGTAGGTCTGGCTGCTATACCCTTTCATATTATTATGGCATCTAGCTAGCTAGACCAATCCTAGGTCCAGGTACTCTGTTTCCCTGAAAATAAAACCTCTCCGGATAATAATCCCAATCGGGCTTTTGAGTGCATGCACTAAAATAGGCCCTATCCCAAAAATAAGCCCTCCCTGAAGATATTGCAACGCAGCAGCAGCCATGAGGTGACCACGCGGGCCTCCTCCTGCACCTCAAAAATAATAAGGCCTCCCCAAAAATAAGGCCACACACTTATTTTGAGGGTCAAAAGAAAATAAGACCCTGTCTTATTTTGGGGAAAACACGGTAGCTAAAAATATCCAGGTAAGAGAAAAAAAATAACTACCATATTTTTCTGCATATAAGACACACCGGAGTATAAGACGCACCAGGATTTTGAAGAGGAAATTTTTAAAAAAAAGTTTTTGCACTTTACAGACCTTCCAACAATGGCCTGTTTTTCATGAAAACAGGTCCCCCTTTTTAAAAAAGGGCATGAATAGCCTTTAGGAGGCTTGTAGAGTGCTCCTGGAGGGTGCCCCCCCCCCAAAATGAGCAAAAAAATGGCCCGTTTTTCACCAAAACAGGCCCATTTTTATCAAAAAAAAGGGCATGCATAGCCTTTAGGAAGCTTATAGAGTGCTCCTGGGGGCTGGGGGGGGGGAAATTGAGCAAAAAATGGCCAGTTTGGTGAAGGTGCCGGGGTTTCGGGAGGCAAAAAAATGCTGTATTCAGTGTATAAGACGCACCCAGATTTTCAGCCTCATTTTTTTGAGGGAAAAAGGTGCATCTTATACTCCAAAAAATATGGTACCTTCAGTCCCTAAAGAGCCAATAACCCCATGGGGAGACGAATTCAGAATTCATGGGCAGAGGCAAAATAGCTTTCCTGCACATATTTATCTGGGAATACACAGAAGCAGGGAAAAAAACTACGCAGATCAAAACAAATTGAAGAATTTCTGATGCTATTCTTTGAAAAGTGTTGCATGTGTGTATTTGCATGCTTGTTGTCCATATACATACCCCCGATCTTAAAATTAATGCCAAGCATTCATTCCACTTTATATAAGAACTTGCCAGTTGGTCTCTAGGATAAAGACCAAATAAGGCCAAGCACTTATTTTAGGGGTCTAAAGCAAATAAGACACTGTCTCATTTTCGGGGAAACACATATATTGGGGATAAAAGAAGAGATTAGAAGCTCTGTATAGTGCTGGTCATATCCAGCCCCCTAAATACTTTTTGAAAAGAGGAATGAAATCAACAAAACCGATCTTCTAATGTTCTATTTGCTCAGGATGCCACCAGTGTCATTTGTAATGGAAAAAAAAATGTGGGTCATCGTTTTACTGTCTTGTTTCCAAACACAGACTGTAAAGTTACTCCCCTACTGCTTGAACACGGTTATTTTTGTAGAAAAGTCAGCTAACACAGCCCTGTAGATTTCTGCTTGCCCACATGCCCAGAATCAGTAATTTTCCTTTGATGGTTGAATACAATATCATTAGGGCCTCCTTCCCCCCCCTTTTAATGACCAATTTGCAATAATTGGCTGCTTATTCAAATAACGTTTGAATAACCATAAAGGAAGAGGAGCCCTCCTGACCCCAACAAGCTGGCATAACAATTAACACAATTGATTAACCTGAAATCAAGTTAAATAACAGATTATGCCACAATGGCTGGCTAGGAATCTCCTTTGCTGGAACTCCATCTCTCCCCCCCACAAATTTTCGTTTTTAAAATCCTGTTCTTTTTTTTTAACATACAGTGTGTCAGATATCTTCTTTTATTAAGATATTTCTATACCATCTGACAGAATTTTTCCCCTCTCCAGATGGCACCCAACATATTTTACCCCATTAAAAATGCAAACACATAAAATAATACAAAGTTAAAATACAGTAAAACAGAGAAATTGCATAAACCGGTGGCTGTGAGCAGTAAGTCTGCCTTTTCTTCCATGAGCTGTCAAATGTCATGATAAATAAATATCTTATCAGATGATACATCATCAGCAATTTTTGGGGGTGGGTGGGAAGAGATTTTGGAAAGATTTCTACTTTATCTCTTAACATTTATGACATGGTTTTTTAAAATATTAATAATCAGCTTGCATTGATACTGTGTTTTCCCGAAAATAAGACAGGATCTTATTTTCTTTTGATCCCAAAATAAGCACGTGGCCTTATTTTGGAGGAGGTCTTATTATTTTTGAGGTGCAGGAGGCCGTGAGCATTGTCACCTCATGGCTGCTGCTGTTTGCGCATCGCTGGGCCTGCCACTCTTTTTGCGACGGCCATTAGCTAAGGTTGCGATGGCTAAGGTTGCAGGAGCGTCCATTAGGTAAGGGTATGTGGGGTGCATAGGGTATGTTCCCCCTTCCCCCCCCCCCTCCGGCCTTGTGTCCTCACCTCGTGTTGTTTGCACAGCAAGCAACCAGAGGAAATGGTGGGGACCGGCTGCCCATGCATTTAAATATTTTCAGAGAGGGTTTATTTTAAGGGGAGGGCTTATGTTAGCGCATGCGCTCAAAGGCCCGATTGATCTTATTATTTGGGGAAGTCTTATTTTCAGGAAAATAGGGTAGTATGGATCTCTTAGCAAAATCCTCAGAAATACAATCCCCCTCCCCCTTCTTCTTAGTGAATTAGGGTTAGGACTGAGCACGTCCATTGGCCCGAAAAAAGTAATGGGCATTTTTGGCGACGAGGGGATGGAATGAGGGAGGACTAAGAGGAACACCGGTGGTTAGATGCCTAAACAGGAACGGGTTTTGTTCTATGGCCAACTTGTCCATTGGCAAATTAATGCTGCCTGATTTAAGCCTTTCAGCTGACTTTCCTTCTCAAAACAGCCTAGGTGGTAGAGAATTTAGATTGGCATTTCTGTCAGAATTAGCAGTTTGTGGCCTACTTCAATAATTATTTCCTCTGGTGCTTTTTCTGGTTGCTATATAGGGACGAGAAGTAGGATGGGATGGCTTATGCAGTTTCCATGGACACCACGAAACGCAGCGGCGATAAACCCAGAAGGAGTGGGGAATCTGATTTCCACCATCTACAGGTTTCCACTTTCCGCTCCAAAATAGTCCCCTCCCCCCCCAAAAAGGATTGGACTTTTCTTTGGCCCCCGTGAACTCTGCGGATGGGCAGCCTCAAGGAGCCACCAATAAGATTTATGATAGGAGGAAGTAGCTGGACGACATGCAAACATTCATATAATTTTCCAAAGCACTTTTGGCTTTTTGTGTACGGCAAAAGCTCTTGATAAACGAGAAGGAAGGCTTAGCTTTGTGTATCATTTTAGCTTTGAAGTCTGTGGTGAGGGATGCCCGCGCACCAGCCTTGTATTCCTGGTCTCACCTGCCAAATTCAAGGAATTCTCACTGTGTCTGGCCAGCTAGTGGACAGATAGGAATGAGGATGAGAAGAGCTGTGTAAAACTCCCTTTCATCTCCCAGAACTCCCTTTGAACTGGCCTGTATCGTCGTTGTGTATCTTAGTCAGGCTGCAGTAACGGCAACAACATGCGTATGGCAGGAAGGGGCATTTTATTTTCCCGAGAGGCCACATTAGAAACTGGGACTGTTACGGAGGTCGGACGAGCCAAGAGGTCGTACTTGATTCTGCTCAATTGCATGAATGGCATCCACTTATTTGATTTCTAATTTCCGATTGACTTTGCACAGGTAGGACATGGACAGTCAAAGGTTAAGCCTGGAGGCCATAAAATGCTCAGGTCTGATGTATGTGCATACGTGCGCGTAGCTTCACTTGTATGTGTCAGTGTTCCACGTAATGCACCCATAGAAAGCAGAACTTCTCAAAGAACAACTTATTGGATACATCACACCAACTGGTGAAAACCGACTCTGAAAACTTCCTGCGGCTTTCACCTAATTAAAAAGGAAAAGTTTCCCTTTCCCCCTCCAAGTGACTGGTCACACTGTCTAGCCCAGCTGCTGTCTGGTTGCTTGGTTACTTCACTCCTCCTCTGGCCCGCTCCCTGTCAGAATGTCCTTGGTTCCCACAGGAAAACTTTATTGTTTGGGCTACAAAACCCCCTCTAGCTATCCCCCCCTCCCCACCCCTTCTTCTGCTTTGTGGCAACCCTGAAGCCTCCAAGATGGCCTCATCCAGGTGCGCTTCAGGGGTGACAGTATGAGCAGTGGACAGTATGAGCATTTGCACAAGCAGTGGGCGCCTGGGCCTGCCTCTCATGCAATGGAGCTGCACGCATGCACTTGCCTGCCACTCATGTGAAATCATCCCCTCCCCCCCACACTGCAAAGCCAGAAAGGTTGGGGGCCGCAGGTATGATGCAAAGAAAAAACTACCCTGNTGCTGGCAGCCGGCAGTCAGCAGAATTAGCCTGCAGTACTGCATTCTAACCACTGTGCCACCACTATGTACACAAACCATGATTGTAGATTATACTGGCACAATATAAGTCGTCATATGTGACAATCATGATGACCCAATCTAAGTCAAAGTCTAGCTGTATCTATGGATAAATTCATTTTATATGCAGTATGTCAATCAGAGTACACAGTCTGGAGGAAAGCTAACTCAAAGGGGAGGTTCTTCCTTTAAGGTGTTATTTCCTTAAAAATCTTCTACTCACCAGAGTTGAATTACATTTCCACTGGTACCCACAGATACATCAGTGATTCCATCATCATTTAAATCAATATGGCCATCTATTGATCTTCCAAAATACTGGAATCGCTGACCAAATGCAGGGTTCGATCCAGAAATTTTCTGAAAGGTTAAAAGCAAAACAGGAATCTTTACACACTGAAAGGATAATTAGCAGTGTCACAATCAAAGCAACAATATCAGATGGGACTAAAAAGGGATACAAAGGTACATACTGTAAATAAAAAAAAAACAATTGGGTTTTTAAGTAGAATATAAATTAAATCATTGTCTTTCAATTGATCTTACACTGTAAGACCATCCATATGAGAAATTTCATGATTGGCAATTCATCAGTGAACACAATGCAATGATAAAAATGAAACCAGCTGAAATATTAACTACTTATCTGCCAATGTAAATATATTAACAAAATAAAATTTCTGCAAATCTAGAAAAAATGTTTAGGTAAAGAACAAAAATTACATATCCTAAATCAAAACTATTTTGCACAATAGAACATCATACTCCTTACCTGGGAATACTTAGTGTGCAATGTCTTTTGTTTACCATTGTAAACGTATATAGCACCAGTATTCTCATTTTCTAATGGTGCTCCAACTATCACATCATTAAAGCCATCCAAATCAATATCAGAAACAGCAATGATAGCAGATCCATACTGAGCATTTTCCAGTCCTTCAGGCCCTTCAAGTACTTCTCGTTTTTCCAAAATTCCCTTTGATAAAATATCAAAAGGAATGAAAGTGAAACACAAGGACGTTTATGTTAGTGTTCTATTAATTTATTAACTAAAGATTCTGATACTGAAATAGAATTTTTTTTAAATTAAATATAGGGACCATTGGAAAAAACTTGGGGGAAAATCTAGCGGTATAGAAGTTAACCGTTTTGCAGAATCCTTTGTGTGTTTTTGCTTTTAAAATAGTAACAGAAAAAAAGAAACAAAACACAAAGATAATTATAATACAAATACATACAATCTCAAATAAAAATTGCATAAAATTGCTTTTAAAAATGAAAAAACTGCATCAAAAAAACCCCAGAACAAAACATAAAGGTTAGGTAAATATATTGTAATTGTTATAATGATATCTTATACATGTTACCTTTGTGACCCTGAACATGTAGACTCTTCCTTCTTCTTTTTTAAAATTATTCATAAACATGGGTGCACCAACCAACAGCACATCTGTTATGGAGTCTCCATTGATATCAACAGAGCACACCACACTGCCAAAATAAGAGCCAATCTGAAATGACAGAGTCATTGCTATCAAACGGGGCATGGAAGCCATACTTCGTAAGAAATTTACGTGAACAACACACAATATCAAAAACATGTAAAACTATCATTAGAAAAAAACAACAAATAAGACTTTATTTGTTATAAAGTCTACTTTAAAAGCAGATTTTTTTTTACAGTACAAGAATAAACACACCATTGTGCAAACTTAGCATTAAAATGCAGCACTTGCCTGCTCTCCTTTTTGAGAGTCAATGATGATTATTTTGCCATCATTATCAACCTGATAAACCACAACTCTGCCAGTATAATTGGAACGGGGAGCACCAGCAACATAATAGACTGAGTTTTCCAAGGAAAGAACAGCGACAGAATAACCTGAAAGTCCAAATTATAGTCATAAGGGCTTAGAAATATTTGCAAATGGGATAAATCAAGATGTTAAATCTGTACTGATTAGCTTAAATTTGTAAATTTATTTAAACGCTTTATTTAATTACCTAATGCTTAAATGATCCTTAGAAGTTTCAGTACTGAACTCTTAGGAAATTTTCCCCAGCCTAATCTTTCTGGACAAGGGGTGTGAAATTCAAGGCCTGGGGGCCAGATATGGTCTGTGGGGTACTTAGATCTGGCCCACAGGGCCACCCTGGAAACAGTGAAGGTCCAACCTGCAGTGTTTCTGCCAGCAAAAATGGGCTCCCGGGCTCGGTTTTCAGCTGCCACAGCCTTCTGCAACCCTCTGCTGGTGAAAACGGAGCTCGGGAGGGCTGCGTACGGCCCTCTCAAGCTCTATTTTCACTGGCAGAGGATTGCAGGAGTCCGTTGCAGCTGAAAACTGAGCTTG